TTTGTGCTAAGGACTGTGTTAGATTTAAAAATTAGTGGATTAATTCCTCTTTGTTGTGTTGCTTCTGTTATTGAAAATAAATAGAACTTTGTGTGTGAGTCTTTAATAGGTGTTTTCTTTGTGTTCACAAAGCCTTTTTGGTATTAAAAACTATAAAGGAACTGGGCCTCCCCGGTGGCGCAGCGGTTGAGCGCTGGGTTGCGAAGCTGCCCGCGGCCTCTGCGGTGCCGGTTCGATCCCCGGCTGCTCCCCGGCCACCAGAGGAGGGTCCCACATGGCGCGCAGACCTCTCCTGCCGCCCGCTGCTCCCCTCAGCAGTGTACTTCGGTCCTTCTGCCTGCTCTGCTCCCCGCTCTGGCTCTGGTGAATTCTCTCACCCTCCCGCGCTTCTGACTGTACCCAGTGCATGTATAAACAAAACAAACAAACAAATAAATAAATAAATAAAACATGCCTCTATTAAAAAAAAAAAAAAAAAAAAATAAAAACTATAAAGGAACTGACGTCTTTGGCTTTGATTAAGTAGAACCAACAAAATGGTTCCATTTTAGAATGAATAGGCCATGAGAAAGATGCTGGTTCTTCTTGAAGGAACAAAGAGAAGATTTGTATCAAGGACTATGAAAGATGGCAAAAAGGGTGAACTGCTGAGAACCATACGGAGAGGAGCCAATCAGGAACTGTCAGGTGTGTAACAGAAGGTGTCAGTACCCACCAGTATCCCCTAGGAACTCATTAGTCTAGCATATGCCACCAGTAGGAATCCCGCTGCCAGCACCTGCTAGTAGTGCTATGCAGCTAATACCCTTGGAGTGACTTTCATTAGGGCCGGTGGGAATTAGAGGATTTATATCAGCTTTCTTGCTGACAAGAGAAATGAAACATCCGAATATTTAAGTTACCCCTTGAACGTGATGGTGGTTTCCATGCCATCCATTATTTATTTTTCTTAATCAAAAATCATTTTTGTAGTAAGAATGTCTTCACCTGTACTGGACTCCTTCCCCTCAGAAGACTCTTTTCCAACTGAAATTCAGTATTTTATATGCCCCAAATGAACTCCCGAACTCCAGCTACATCTGTATTCCAGTTCCATCCCCAGAGGAGAAAGCATTATGTGGAGAGAAGGTAAAGACTTGATAGGAAAAAAAAGTAATAATGGCACACACCATGGTTCATTTCTGGATTTCTTCCAGACCCATTCACTACCTCTAGAGTCAGTTCCAATAACCTGACGGGCTTGAAAGGTTAGAAAGTGTGCTGAGATTTGACTCATTTAGGCATCCTCCCCACATGGACAAGGCCAAGTAGGGAGGACACGCCTAGCCTTTTCCAGTAGCACTAAAGAACGCTGTGCTCTGAGCAGTGCTGGAGCCTGGCCTCGGAAACTGTACTGCTACGGCTGTCTCATAGCCCTCTGTCTTCATGTCATTGATCCCTAGCTCCTTGTTTTGATTCAATGTATGCTTCAAATGCTCCACCTTCATCTCGGGATCATCTTTAGGTGCACAGGTGTTCTGCAAGTAGCTATTTCCTACTGGATCATTCATAATAAAGTGGGGGCTTATATTAATTACCCTTGAAGATCTGGTCCAACTTGTAGTTAAACTGTGCTTTTTCCACCTGCATGTCATCTTTTAGAGGTCCCACCAGAAATAAGTGTTGTGGTCTGCACGGGAATCTGTTTGTAAATGTTCCCTGCATAAACTTCCTTTTCTTGTCTTACATTCCCACTTCCCTACTAGTGCATCCTGGAATCACCACTCACATTCAAATGCTTTCTTAAATGTCTGCTGTTATGGGAACGCACCGTAAGTCAAACTGTTTAACTTTTCCCCCTGCTTTAGTGTCTTGGTGGGATGCCACACACTCTGGCAGTAATGCTCACTACAGTAGTAATTTTTATTTATTTACTTATTTACTTATATTTTTATTGATTGATTGATTATTTATTTTAGATTTATTTATTTATTTATTTATACAAGCACTGGGTACAGTCAGAAGTGCGGGAGGGTGAGAGAATTCACCAGAGCCAGAGCAGGAAGCAGAACAGGCAGAAGGACCAAAGTACACTGCTAAGGGGAGCAGTGGGCGGCAGGAGAGGTCTGCGCACCATGTGGGACCTTCACCCAGCGGCTGGGGATTGAACTGGTGCTGTGGAGGCTGTGGGCAACTTCGCAACCCAGCACTCAACCGCTGCGCCACCGGGGAGGCCCCTACAGTAGTAATTTTTAAATGAGTATTGGGAAGGGTTGGATGGTGGGCATTTGTTGAAAACGTCTTCTCATTCTGATCTGACTGTAGGGTGGCTGAAAATGATTGCTTTAAATATGGGAGATGTCATCTAGCATATCTGTACTGTAGTAAAGTTACCACAGCCTCTTGACTTTACCGTGCTAAAAGTTTTGGTTTTGTCCAGTCATATGCAAAAGGGTTTTAACTCTCAAAAGATATGATAAAACCAAAGCATACACCAATTTTTAGTGGTCATTATGAACCAGTAACTTTCAAATACCTGCTTTTTTAATGTTTACAGTAATTTTACCTCCTGCTGGGAGATAACAGTGGGGATACAAACTATCACAAGTATTTTTGAAGCAAAAATTGTAAGCAAAGACAATGAGTTCAATCTTAATGATTAATGGCTTTGAGCTTTAGCTTCATCTGCTGCTAAGACCAGCTATTGAAGTCCTAAAGTTGGGGTCCCTCTTCCTTGAATTGCCAGATTCTTGTTCTTTAGGGTTTTTCCCCCCCTCAACTTTATAATTCTGGCTCTGCTTTTTTGCTTGTGTTCTGGGAGACATCATTTCTTGTTCTATTTAGCTCTTGAATTCTGGACCTTCCTTACCTTTCCACGTACTTTCTCTGCCTCTTCCAACCCTGAGCTGCATGCAGCCTTTGAAATTTTCTAGGTCTTGAATAACTTGTATAACTTCATTTGCGGTAGAAACATTCTGTCTTTTCTTTCCTTGTAGTAGAGGGCTATGCTCCTGGTATTTAGTTTTTCTATTTCCTATTTCTCTAGAGAAGGTACTGTTGAACTTCAAACAGGGCTGCTTAACTTATTTGATCCTCTCTTGCTTTTGGCCTAAAGGTGTTTGCTGGATCAATGCCACCTGTCTGTGTCAGTAAGGTGTAGTTAGTTATGTGTAACTGAAAACCTAACTAAAGACTTTAAATAATAGGAAGATTCCAATCTCATGTATGTAGGATAGCTTCAGGGTTCTTTTGATTTTCTGCTCTGCCATCCTTAGCCTGTCCTGTAGGCTGCTCCCCTTGTGGCTGAAGGGGGCCTGTTAACGGTTTCAACAGAAGAGGGAGGATTTCTTGTTAGGTGTTGCCTTTATTTATTTATTTATTTTTTAAATTTTATTTATTTTTTTTAATAGAGGCATGTTTTATTTATTTATTTGTTTGTTTGTTTTGTTTATACATGCACTGGGTACAGTCAGAAGTGCGGGAGGGTGAGAGAATTCACCAGAGCCAGAGCGGGGAGCAGAGCAGGCAGAAGGACCGAAGCACACTGCTGAGGGGAGCAGCGGGCGGCAGGAGAGGTCTGCGCGCCATGTGGGACCCTCCTCTGGTGGCCGGGGAGCAGCCGGGGATCGAACCGGCGTCGCAGAGGCTGCGGGCAGGTTCGCAACCCAGCGCTCAACCGCTGCGCCACAGGGGAGGCCCAGGTGTTGCCTTTATTAATGGGCAGCCTTTTTCAGAAACCCCTCATAGACTTATCCTTGTCAGAATTACAGCACATACCTCTTCCCAAGTCCATCTCTAGAAGGGTAAGTGAAATGGAATCAGTTGACTTAGAGTAATCAAGATCTAGTCTCCTTGGGCTATAGTCTGTGAACTTTCCCAGGGAATGTGGCCTGAAAGGGCAGGGTAAATAACCAAATAAAAAGTCAGGGTCTGCTGCAAACCTCCACTGTAAAGTCAGGTCTAGTCATTTTCTCCAGGAGCAAGAATATCTCACTCAGGAGGTGTCTCCTTATCATTAATGTGGACTTGACGTTATGTGTTCTTTCTTGTCTCATCTTCCCAATAAATTTACTTGGCGTTTTTAATGTGCTTCTTGAGTGTATTTTCTTAAAACAAATGCTATTGATGTTTCTTTATTAGTAAAAATTATGACCTTGGCACTCACTCTGCATATTTTCTGGTCTTTTCCTCTTGGGTTCTACAGCCTCCTACTTGTGCCTGTCAATAAGGAGGGTTTCCCCAGTTGCTCTTTAGATTTTCAATCTGCAGCTTTCAGTTTTGATAGTTTACTTGTCCTGGGATCTTTCTGGAAAATATATCAGGTTGTTTCTGGGATCATCACTTGGCACCATGGACTGCCACAGATATATCAGGTCAAAGATATGGAGATCTTATTTGGGTTTTGCAGAGAAGCTTGCTGAAGACTTCCGTCCTGTAGTTTGTTTATTTAATTGATAGCTGTTGTCCACAATATGGACTTAAGTAAACCAAATTATTTTCTAACATTTTTACAAGCAGACAGTGGAAGCTTTTTACAAAGCATTCTTTTACAGGTGTTACAGTAGTTAAACAAGGAGGCCATTAGATTGGGGTGGCTTCTAGTGCCTTTGGTAGACTATGTATATATACCAGAACCAAAGCCAAAGATAGTGCAGTTGGATCTAAGAAAATGAAATTTATGAAGAGGAAATTTGGACATACAGAGAGGCATGCTGGGGTCACATACACAGAAGAAAGGAAGCCATCAGCTTAGCAAGAGAATCTCCAAAAGATACCAAACCTGAAGACACTTCGATCTTGGACTTCCAACCTCCAGAATTGTGAGACAATATTAATTTCTGTTGTTTAAGTCACTTACAACATGTGCATGGTAGCAACACTGTCAAATAATTAGGTAAGAGTCTTAGAGACTTCTAACACTAATTGTGTGTATACACATGCATATCAGTTTTAATTTTTTTAGGTAATTAATGAAAGTCTAGTTCATATTAGGAAAAATAACTTCTCATTGTAATTTAACCATAAATTGTGATGGTAGAATATTCTGGCACTTGTGCTATTGTGTATAAATACATAGAGAAACTCTTGGACCTAATGCACCCAGACATCAGTGTATATGTCCACCCCACAGCTCTATTAGTATAAACTGGTATCTCGGTGGAACTGGATGTATGTGTACTGACCTTGTGCCAGTCCCTTCATGGGGCAAGTAAACAAATATGACTAAACAATGTAAACTGATAAAGTGAACAAGGGAGTATTTTTTTCAAAGATTTTTATTGTACTAGGAAGACCCATATACACCATATACACCTTAATACACTAAAATCTATTTTAAAAGTTACCATTTCCAAAGAAGGGAGAATACTAAGACTAGCTATCCCAGATTTTAGATTAACATATAATTTGTAATGACAAAAAATATTTATTTTGTGAATATATGTGTGTAGATATACACATGTAAATACATATATGAAAAGCCTAAAAACGTGGAATTATTAACATGGGACTATGTTTAGTGACTGTATGGTGTTGCCACTATATTTTCCTTATAATTAAATGTATGTAAGTAAAAAAAGTAATAAAAGGAAATCAAAAGAAAATCAACAAAAAGGGAAAAAATTATCAGTGAATTCTCACAATTGTGGATTTATCCTAATTTAACCATTCCCTTATGATAGATGCTGAGGTAGTTTCTAGTTCCCAATTCAAACCCTCAGAGCTCAGGGAAAAAGCTCACTTTCATGAACTCACATCATCAGGAATACAGCATCCTTTCATTTTCTATATGACAAATTAACTTTCAGTTTGCCTTCTTAGCTTTTCCGGAATACCATAGACCTATTCTCATCTGGGTGTGATTATAGTCTGTAGATTTTCCAGACTCTGGAGGAAGTGGTGCTCATAGGGAGGTTTTATTTGCCAGTAAAATGCTTTTGTTCAGAAGGATTCAGCAGATAGGTAGTGCCCAAAGTGCTTCCGGAGGCAGTATGGAGCTTGGAAACTATCCCTTAGAGAAGTGAATAGGGACAATAACCACTGCCTCCAAGACAGTAAAAACCTCCATTTGGGGTTTCAAGTGGTTTCTCCTTCTACCTGCATTATTCTTGTCCCAAATAGGATGACTTCATTTTCATTATCCTGTAAATTGTACTGATTCTGTATCAAAAGAAAGGAGGTCTTGACCTTGTTCTGAGAATGATATTTCTACCTCCTGAAGTTCAGGCCTTGGTGAGCTTGCAGCATGTGGAGCTGAGCCTGACAGTCTTCTTCACTGAGGCACAACTGGGGTCCAGGCTGGACCTCTTTCTGTGGGTTATATCTTTTCTAAAAACCTGTGTGTGGTAGGAATTGACTAAACAGGCTTGGGATTTCTACATATTGCTGGTGCAGTTGGATGAGATGGTTCTCCATTGATTGCTGTGGCCGCCAGTCTTACTGTGTTCCTTCTCCAGGATCCCATTCTGCAATCAGAGCCTGGCAGCCCTCATCCCACCACTGCATAATGTAAGATATGTCCAGATCCTGTGACTGGTGCTTTTTGTGCTCAGGATGAGGCTGAGAACAGTCCTTCACCTGCACTACTCTTGTGCCAGTCTGTTCTTTGTGATTCTGGCACTTTTCTTGGTTTGGGGGCAATAGGAAGGCAGTCTCAGTATCTGAGAGGTCTCCTCCTAGAGTTGGTGGTATTGGCACGTAACTCCCAAGTGTCAGAGTAGGAGAGCTGTCTCCTCCCTTTGCAGCCTGTATGGGCTGCACCATCCTGACATTTGGTCCTTGGATCACACACGGAACAAAGGACACATGGGATGGGAGATGAGCAGGTAGAAATGTTTGTTTCTGGCTGAAAGATTTGGAGGAAGGAAAATGATGAGACCTGCCTTTAAGAGTGGAAAGGTCAAATTCATGCTGCTGAACTATTAGATCAGGTCTCCCACTTGGGTCATCTACCAAGGAAGTCATGGGCTCACTTCTGCTCTGCCCAGGGTACAGAGATCTTCTGTTCTGAAGCCACAGATATGTGAGAAAAAGGGAGACATGGACATCATAAGACATGGCTTTGGCTGTGTTCTCATGCTGTGTAAAGCAAAGGAGCTATTAATATAGGCCTTACTAGAAGGATGGCTATGAGTATGAAATTAAATACTCTTGTGTTGGTGTAATGTACATAAATGTGTATATAGATAACATAAATGGATAATACACAAATAGAGGTCAACACACTCAGCAATCAACTATTGATGAATTAAAACTGGCTGAAAAGACATGTTCTAGAATCCTCTAATTATAACAATAATTCGGAAAACAAGCTCTCTACTAGGTTGATATTTTCCCCCTCATTGCAAGTATGTGCATAAGAATACATATAAATTTGTGTATAAATCTGATCCAGTGTTATAAAAACAAATAGGTGTTTTTGAGGGTTTATGTGTTGAAACCTATGAATGTGGTTCCTAGTCATAAGCATTTATCATTTACTAAGTCAGTATCCCCATTATGTAGAAAAAGGAGCTCAATATAAACAACTTTTTCCCCAGTTGGAGGACATTTGGTTAGATATCTAGATTTTTGGGAGGTGTCAAAAATGGGGGGGGGGGTTCCCATTTTTGTAGGCAGTTTTTCTAGGCTAGGAATGATGAAAAATAACCTATGTGGCACAGAGTAACTCCTCACAAGAAAGAAATGTTTGGCCCAAAGTGAGAACAGTGCCAAGCTGTAGAAAACCTGACAGTGCTCTCAAAATATGTATAAACTATTTTCCTGCTGGTGATTCTAACTGACTATACCACTGGCAGTACAGAGAAGACATATTTGGTCCACAGACAAAGAACTTACTTGAATTCTTGATTCTGGAATGCCTGTTTGTTTAGCCCCCTTTTTTCTGGTTGCAATACCAGGGAATTGGTTCCTTTCAAAGGCTTGAATTAGGATGTTTGATTGAGATCTTGTGACAAATATCTGGTCTTGTCTGGTTTCTTTTGGTAAGTATTCTGGAGAACACGGGAACAAAAAGATAGCTTTTAGGACATTTTTCATATTTGAACTAGAAATTCAAACTTGTGAAGATAATGCTGAACTCACTTACTCCCTCCTAATTCCCCTTGGTGACAGAAGGAGAGCACCCTGCCCTGTTTAGAGCAGCAGGACCATAAGGTCCAAAGATTTGCTTGCTAAGAACCTACCTGTCCCAGCCAACTGTGTGCCCATGCTTATATTTCTGACATCAGGGTGCCCAGAACAAGCTGTAACTGGCTCCTAAACACAGGATTCTTCGTGGAGAATTTGGGCACAACATTGTAGAATCATAGCCCCTCTCAAAGAAACCCACTAAGGAAATGCATCTGGACTGGTGGGTTCTTACCTTGAGTCCAAGTCTGAGGCTCGTCCTGTGCCTGGATTTGGTCTTTTCCTAAGTAACATTCAGATTCCAACTGTCTCTGTTTTGTTCTGTGGTTTTTAAACCAAATCTACGTGGGAGAACAAGACATGAAAGTCCTGTAACTCAGTCTATGTCATTCCAAATACCAGTCCAGTTAAACAAGACTGATTTTATCAACTGCCATTGGGATAATATCCATAAGAGAAAGGTGATATATTCCTAGGAATGATATTTCCATTAGCATATAATTCAGAACACACAATCTGGTCTCAGCTCAAATTAGCATTTCTCATAAGGTTATCTTCATGGTATCCCAAGTAAATTTCCCTAATTTAGGAGGCACTTTTAGTTCTCTCAAAGGAAATGAGTATTTCTTTCTTCGTCTCTTTCTCCCTCCTCCTCTCTCTAAGCTGATCTTCTGTGTCTGAATGTCTTCTTTTGCTCTCATTATCTTTTCAGAAGAAATACTGTTTCGGGGGCCTCCCCGGTGGTGCAGTGGGTTGAGGGCAGCGCTGTGGAGCTGTCCACAGCCTCTGCAGCGCGGGTTCCATTCCCGGCTGGCCAGGGAGATCCCCACATGGCACAGCAGACCTCACCTGTCGCGCCTGCTGTGCCCCTCAGCAGTGCTTTCGGTTGGTCTGCCTGTTCTGCTCCCCACTCTGTCTCTGATGAATCCTCTCACCCTCTAGCGCCTCTGGCCTGTACCCCAGCTATTGTATAAATAAAAAATAAATCTTAAAAAAAAAAACTATTTTGTAATATACAATACACATGGAATTGATCTTGGAAAACAATTTTTTAAATTATTAGAATTAGTTACAATTAAGAGCTAGGCTGGCATCCACATTTCCTCTTTCTTTTTCCTCTTTTTTTTTTTTTTTTAAGTTTTCACTGGAAACTGCATCACATTTTCTTTCTTCAGACCATAGTTAGCTATAGATTGGGAGACTCCAAGGGACTGTGTAGTATCCTATGCTGTAAAACATGTCAATAACATAACCAATAGAACTCTGCTTGCTTCCTCAGAATTGTGATTTCTAACTTCGAGTGTTTTATTTTGATAATTTGATAATTCTTAAGTTTTAGGATGTTAGTGACAACTAGTATTTGACAAACTACTCTTATATCCAAGGCATAGTGCTAAAAGGTTATATCCTTTAATCAGTATTTTCAGGTAAGAAGTCTTAAGCACAGGTGAAAACTAATGAATAAATTAATGAACATTAGACAGAGTCAAACATATCCTACATTGTTTTCTGGACTTGTCATCCTCCACTTCAGTTCAAATAGCTGCTTCTTTGCAGCTTATTATCAGACACTACCATAGAATTTACTTTCTTGCTGGAACTATATGACCACTGACTCCTATATCCAGAACAAATGCATAAAGAAAAAAGGAAAATTTCTCCCCAGCATCTCCTCAGACTGAGGACCTTAAAGCCACTGGCTTCTTGAAGACTCTATATTTGATAAAAAATCTGAACTCATTTTCATATTGATCTTCATTGCATTAAATACTATTTCAACCTACTGACTTGGAGAAGATACTTGTTCATCATACACTGGACAAAAATTGAATACCCAATATATATAAAGATCTCATGCAAGTTAACAACAAAACAACACAATAAGTAAATGGGCAAAGGACTTGAACAGAAACTTCTCCAAAGAAGATGTACAAATGGCTAACAGGCATCTGAACAAATGCTCCACTTATTATTAGGGAAATGCAAATCAAAACTGCAACGGGGTACACCTCATATCTGTAAGAATGACCTCTATCAAAAAGCTGTGTTGGTGAGGGTACAGTGAAAAATGAACTCTTGTTCACTGTGGTAGGAATGTAAACTGGTATAGTCTATGTAAAATGGTATGGAGATTCCTTAAAAACCTAAAAATGGAATTACGGTATGACCCAGAAATATCTCACACACATATTTTTCCAAAAAATGCGAGAACACTAATTTGAAGATTTGTGCACTTGTGTGTTCACAGCAGTATTATTCACAATAGCTAAGACATGGAAACAGCTTAAATGCCCATCAGTAGCTGATTGGATAAAGAAAGTGTGGTACATATACTCAAAGGAATAATACTCAGCTACTAAAAAAGATGAAATCTTGCCTTTTGCGACAACATGTACCCAAACTTAAGGTGATTAAGCTAAGTGAAATAACTCAAAGTGAAAGACAATTATTGGATGGTTTCTCTTATATGTGGAATATAGAAAAAGCAAATGAAATAACACATCACAACAAAATGACTCATATCTGTGAAAAAATGTAATGGTTACCAGAGGCAAGAGGAGTAACGGGGTCAGGAAGGAAGGGTAGAGGGTGTCAACCTGATAGTGCAACAGACACTAGAACTTAAGTGTTGGGTGAGGTGAGGTTTATGCACCTGTAGAGGTGAACATGTACCCCTGAAGATTATATGGTATTGTAAATAAATGGTAAATCAACAAAATTTTATTTTGAAAAACTGTTTGTGTTGTTATATTGTTTATAGCTATCTCTTTGCTAATTGAAACCAACTTAGTTTTAATTTCCATTAGTAGTTATTCAAAATAATACAACACGTGATTTTACTTCATACACTTCTGGTATGAATCATACCAGATGTTTCACTAAGCGGAAAAAAAAGCTGAGAACTGGGAATCATACATGATTCCTTCTCCCCCCATTCCCTTCTAAGTACATTTCCCCTCATAATTACATATTAATCACTGTGCAGTATATCAATACGTAAGGGTATCATATCATTATAGTGATCCAATTTTCTATATTCTCTAAATCTCAAAATATGATTTAATTATCATCTGTTGGGAAAGGCTGGACCTTACTCTTTCTTCATCAGTACATACATTTAACCACTATCTCCACCATTGGTAAAAAAAAATATAGAGAGTTCTTATTTTGTTTCTACTATTATAAACAGAAAATACTTGGGAAGCAACATACCTGACATAAGAGAATTGTCAAAGTGCTGAGCCCAGCTCTTCTCTTCACCTTGACTTACAGATAATGAAATAGAAACCTAATGCATACCTGAATTTTAGGCTCTGGAATACCAATTTCCTTGGCCATTTGTTGCCTGGAAGCTTTATCAGGGTAAGGGTTGTGTTCAAACCATTTCTGGAGGATATCCTTTTGGCTCTGGTTGTAAACAATCCTGCCTTGCCAGGCTTCTTTTTGTAGCATGCCTGATGAAGAGAAAATGGGGCGAGGAGTATGAAGGATATATTTCTGGATTAAAAATTCTTAAGTGAGCATATGTCATGTTTGTTTCAGGTTGAAAGCCTGTAGGTTTGATGTTTTTATTTTAGGGATACACCTAAAGTTGTGCTAAATTTGGAGACAGAGGTTGAATACATACATACATAACATTTATATACACATACACACATTTATACACACATAGAATTAGAAAAAAGAGAATCTGCGATCTGAGTTACCAAAGGAAGTTACTGAAAGTCCACAAATTACATGTTAGAAAAACAGGAAGCATAGGAGCTAGGTAAATATTAATGGAAATAAAACACGAAAAAATTAACAGTATAAATAAAACTGATACTTTGTGATGAAAACATTTTAACAAGATTAAATGTAAAAACAGAACAAACATGTGGAATATATTTTAAAGTGTTAACTTTAAAACTTTCAATAACCCATGCATATGGAACTCATGGTGTCATCTTAAATTTGAAATTCCAGTCACCAAAGCATCCACCAATCCTCTGAAACAACTTACCACTGCAAAACAACTCCTACTCCAACAATCTAGCCCTCTAATAGTAACTAATTTTAACTTGGAAAAATGAACCATGGCATTATCAAAGAAGACAGTAAAAAGCAGATGGGAACTTAACACTTGCTGTGCTGTTCGAATATATCTTGGAAGAAATACTTGGATTCCATAGGGAGTGAGCAACTAAGCAGTTCCCAAGACACAGGATTTAACACCTACAGTGACCCACCCATTTCTTAGATACCCTTTTACTTAATCCCTTCTTTAAATATTTAACACCTTTAGAAACTTGAAGTAGTCAGATTCAGAGGAAGTATAGAGTCAGCTATTTTTACTTATATATTATCTCTTTCCAAATACCTATTATATCTTTCCAAATCTCTTTCCAAATCCGATTTCTATTATAGCTTTCCAATATTTGTGCTCTCTAGTTTACATATATATAAATGTGTTGTCCTGTGTAACATTTTAGTACTCTTGTTTCTTATTTTGGTTTGAGATAATATATGGTTATTCTTTGTACTTTTTCTGTTTTCCTTTCTGAACTTATTCTCATCATCGATAGTGGAGTTTAGATGTCATCATCGTGGCTAGTTTACATATTCCATAGTTATTCAAAAAACCATTAATCTAGGTGTAAATAAAAGGCTTTTTCTAGTTGACTGGAATATGTATCACCTGGATTTAAATTAAAGAGATTATCCTGTGTAATCTGGGTGGGACTCATAGAATCATTGGAAAGTTATAAGAGCAAAGCTTCAACATTCCAAAAGAAATCACCCCTCTGGACAGCTTCATTCCTACCAGAGTTTCAGTGTGCCCTTCTAAAGGCCTGCCCTGGAATTCCCATTCTTGTCTGTTCAGCCCCCACAATTGTATATTCCATGTGATACATGTATACATTTATATGATCTCACTAGTTCCTTATTGACTGGATTCAGAACACTGTTGATTCTCTTGTTGATTGATATAAATGTTACACTGCAGATGGGTCTGTGAGAACAGACAATATGTATGTGTGTGTGTACTTTGGTGATCTGATCAAAAGAACCAACACCATATGAGGTAGTTGCTGAGGTCAAGGGAAATAGGCATTTTGGTGAAGGAAATAGTTAAACAGGCGGGCTACTACATGTGACCATTTGCAGAAATAGCATACTAGCTCTGAGAATTGTTACGTTTGTATATATATATGGACAAAATATTTTTCCTGTTATCCCTTAATGATCTAATGTAATATATAATAGTTAACCTAAATCGTTGTATTTAAGGGTTCTCCAAAGAGAAGGATGCACATTACCCAAGGATGTTACATCTGCCTTTGGAGAAAGGGCTCGCAAGTTTCTATTGTAGGCAGAAATATCACTTTGTCGTTATATTTGGGAATTATCTACGGTGTCAGGAGAGGTGTATAGTTTCCAGGTTGACAAAGTGTGGACAGAAATAGTTTTATGTGTCAATATTGCTAGGCTATAAACCCTAGTTATTAAAACACCGCTCTCCCTATTTCTGTGACGGTATTTTATAGCCGTGGTTCAAGTTCATTATCACTTGCGTATAACTATGGGAAATTACCCTCGATAATCTGGGTGGGCCTGAGTCAATTAACTGAAAGGCCAAAAGGCCAGAGGAGGCTTCCCTGAGAAGAGGAAATGCTGCCTGTTACGAGTCCAGCCTTACTATGCATTTCAGACTTGCCCAAATCAGCCTTCACTGTCACATAAGCAAGTTCCTCATGCTAACTGCTGCCTCTGCTTTCCAGGAACGCTGATACAGTTCCCAAATTGTTCCTTTTGAATTGATGACATTAACAGGACAAAAAGTATGTATGTGGGTTTGCAAGCAGAGGCGCTATTGGCGCTGGAAAACTTGACCGAAACCTAGAATGATGGCAACTCCTGTTTTGCCACGGTGCATTTTGGGGGTAAATATGTCAGCTTTGAAAACCTGGCAGGCAGAAAAGTGTCCAACTCTTTTGTTCAGCCGGCGACCTGGCTGCCCCCACCCTACTTCTCTGGGACCCGGGCGGTCAGCCGAGGCTGGCTGGGGAGCGATGTGAGGGCACCGCGACGTTTCGACAGACTCTGGAGAGTGTTCAAAGGACACGGTTCGGGGCCAGGCGCACGCCCGCAGCCCTCGGGTCTGGCACTTACACCTCCTTCGTCGCCTGGGAAACCAAGTCTCAACTTCCCCTGCCAAAGAATGACTCCACCATCCTGCCAGAAACAACACCCGACCTTTCTCTCCGGAGCTGGGATCCCGACCTGGGACGCTCGCCCCCAAGCCCCAACCCCCCTCCGGGGCGAGATCCCGCGGCCGACTGCAGAGGCGGATCCCCGCGGCTCCGGGCCGGCTGGACCCGCGGCGGCCCCGGGCGGGGCCGGAACTGGCCTGTGGGACCCTCGGCCTCGTCCTCGCTCCGCTGGTCCACGGTCCCGGGCGCCGGAGGTCTGAGCGCAACGGAACCGGAATCCGCCTGTTGGGGTGCCCGGAACTTCCGGCGGGGGCGGCGGTCTCGGGGAGACGCGCCCGCCTCGGCCGCGCTGCCAGCCCCGGGCGCTGCCCCCCCCCGCGCGCCCCCCCGCCGGGTCCTCGCCCGCGGGCGCCGGAGCGCGGCAGCCGAGCCTCCCGGGGCGCGCGCAGGCCGTGTCCGCGGGGCCCGCCGCGGGCGGGGGGCCTGGTGCCTGCGCCGCCTCTGCACGGGCGGGGGACCCCTAGCCAGCGGGACCCCGACTCTCGGCACCTCCCACTGTCAGAGGAAGTCCCGCCCTCGAGGAGCGCTGAGGCCTCCGGGCTGCCGGACTCGGTGACAGCCGTCCTGGTTCTTTGGGGGGAACAAGTAAGTTTGCAGCAACATGGATGGCGCTGGAAGGGATCATGCTCAGCGAAATAAGCCAGAAAGAAAAAGAAAAATACCGGCTGGTCTCCCTCATAGCAGGAATCTAGAAAACTTAAATAAGGGGCCAGGAAAATGAATAACTATAAGAAAGTGAAAACCAAAATCAACAAAAAACTATGAACCAGAGACACTCTATGGGGGCTGGGGGCGGGAGGAGAGGGATTGGGGTCAGAATGGGGGGGTTGCAATTGTATGGGGGAATATAAAAATAAAATTAAAAAAAAAAAAAAAGAACTTAGTCATCTAGCCACTCCTAGGTTTAAGAGAGCCTGGGAAACATAATCTGTAAGTGGTCTAATGTAACACGAGGGAAAGGGTATAAAAAGGTATTTTGTTGTTTTAGGCTAACTAGCATGGTACTAATTATAGTTATACTCAGATTGGTCTCTGAAAAAAAAAATGCATACATTGTGCAAAGATGAAAAATGATGTAAGAATTATATAAAATAAAATATTAATAAAAAAACCCAAATAAGAATCTTGGGCAAATCAAGACCAAAATAGGAAGTAAAAGTATAAAAATGAAAACTAGCACGGTCCTCTGTGTGCTCGAGGAGTGGAAAAGTTAAGGGGATGTTGGAAACGATTTTTTGGAAATAAATTTGAAAATGTATAGGAAACAGACCCGTATTTAGAACAACTAAGCGTCCCAAAGCTCACCCCCATATTGGTTGGCTAGCAGTCATTGAAGATCTGAAGCCCGTAGTTACCAAACTTCCCATAAGGCATCTGAACCATATCGAAGAATTTTATTTCAAAATTCAACTCAACTTTTAGGGAAGGAGTAAATGATGCCAGCCTTTACTCATGAACAAATCTTTTCAAAATCTTAAACTACTGGCAGCTGTAACCCAGCAAAATGTGAAAAGAATGCCATGACCTCCACTGGGATTTTTCTCTAATCACGAAGTTCTCTAATAAGAAATTCAAATCACCACATGGAACAGATTGTAGGAGAAAACTCATTTGATCACTGTAATAGATGAATAAATGGAAAACTTAAAAAAGAAATACCAAGAACCTGAACACAATAAAATAAAGGGCACTCCCTAATAGGTTACTTGCTTTTTATAGGACTACAGTATGTATCAGCCTTCCATAATACCTAAGAAGTAGTCCAGTCTTTGCCCTTGTGTCTTACTTTTTACATTATTTCTTTTTTTTATAATTTTTTTTTTTTAATTTTTTTTTATAGAGGCATGCTTTATTTATTTGTTTGCTGGTTTGTTTGTTTGTTTTGTTTATACATGCACTGGGTACAGTCAGAAGCGCGGGAGGGTGAGAGAATTCACCAGAGCCAGAGCGGGGAGCAGAGCAGGTAGAAGGACCGAAGTACACTGCTGAGGGGAGCAGCGGGCGGCAGGAGAGGTCTGCACGCCATGTGGGACCCTCCTCCGGTGGCCGGGGAGCAGCCAGGGATCGAACCGGCGCCACAGAGGCCGCGGGCAGCTTCGCAACCCAGCGCTTAACCGCTGCGCCACCGGGGAGGCCCCTTTACATTATTTCTTACTTGAATTTGAGGGTTCTCTTGAGTACTTGGAAGAGTTTCTCTGTGGGTCACATTTAGCAGCAGAACTGCTGAATATTTTCAACTTAAATGTTTATAAGGAAAAAAAAAATCTTTGCTTTCTCTCTCTGTGCTTCTGAAACCAAGTGTGTGGTTCCCCCTCCCCTTCAACAATTCTGACATTAGCTGAATTTCCTACACCCAGGTAAATTCTGATACTATCTACATGGAGTTAGCAGCAGATCTCACAAATTAAGGGCACAGTCCTTGGGATTGCTCTCTTATGTTCGTGCACTTTAGACATCCACAGCAAGTCTCAAGTTGGCACCTATATAGCTGACCAAATGGCTATAATTTGGGGGTTCCCATTTACTCCCTCCTGGGGTTCATGATAGAATAACTTACAGATCTAAGAACGGTTTTCTTACTAGATTGCTGTTTTGTTATAAAAGGCTACGACTCAGAAAATGACTTACTAAATGAAGTAAATATCAGCATTGCATTGGAAAGTTGTACAGGACACGAGTGATTATGCAAGTTAACGTGTAGTGTGGTGAATTTGGATCAAAATATAAAAGAAACGAAGACAAAGAATTACACCATATCAGAAATGGTATATCAAACTCTTTACAGTGATTACATCAGGAGTACGAATTTGGAGTCCAAGAATTAAAAGTCTAAACTTTTACCTTCTAATTGTATTTCTGAAATTTCATAAACAACATGAATTACTTTACAAATAAGCTGTTAGAATTTCTCAAATAAAAATGGGAAAAAACACAGCACTCCATTTTTAGTACTTTTAAACATAAAAGTTCCAGGTTTTTCTCCAAAGACCAAGACACAGACGCCTTTATCCATGGGGTTAATTTGTTTGGGCACTCGGTTCCTCTGGGTCTCCTTGCTGAAGACCTTGGCAGTGGTCATGACCCCATGGCTGTCTCGGAAGGTGCCTGCTGTGGTCAGCTGGGTCACTGTCCATTGGCTTGAGAACAATTCCCTGCTGCTGCCTTGAAAGGAGAGCAGCACTTGCCTTAGATTTTCATTAGTCAGGTGCTTTGACAGCTGCTCCTGGAGCTGTTTTTCTATCTGTTCTTGATATAGCTGAGGCTGGGAGACGGCTTAAGAGTCATAAAGCCAGTCATTGCGTTCCTGGGCGTGTTGCTCCTCCGTGCTGCATACAGCAAGCACAAAACAAAGAGCTGGGGCCTGTATTCTGGCTTTCTCCTTCCCCTGCCCAATTCCTGTCAAAACACTGCATGGACCATGTAGCACAAATGCAGGTTGGTGAACTGTGGCTGGGAAAAGAACAGGCAGGAGAAGGTCCCCTTTCTGTGTAACAATGACACCTAAAAGCACTACTTGATTCATTTGTATTGCCTGGGGCCACAGGCATAGGTCTCTCTAGAGGGTAGAGAGCAGCTCCACCCACCAGATTCTCCTGGGTATAGGAGCCCTGCTCATTGGTGGTGCTGGAACATGCAGCCTGGGTGTCCTGGAGGTTTAAAGGCTGCTTGGCTGCTATTTGGCCATTTTCTTGTTTCCACATAATAAATAGTCTTTGTCTCTCTTGACATGGAAGTCGGGCTCTCTTGTTCTGGAACCAGGTCTAAAGAGAAGATAAAATTGTTTTATCAAACCTACTTATGGAGGTCTTTTCTTTAATGCGTTTCTATACTGTAGGAGGAGTTTTTACTTAAGCTTTTTTTTTTTTTTTTTTTTGCAGCTGGGGTTTCTAAGAGTAGGTTAGGAGTGTGAGAAAAGCTCTTTCCCAGGGTCGCACCTGTAGTTACAGAGGTTGTGCATCATTTCTCCAGACCCACAAACTAATCAGCTGAAGATATGACCTATGGTTAATGTGTAAATCAGTGTCTTTCAGAATCTGAGACCTACTTATCTTTCTACCCTTGTTCTCTAAGAGAGGCTCTCTTAGAGTCTTCTAGCTACCCTAACACTACACATTGCTCCCACAACTGTTAACTCACTCAAGCTGCCCCCCACAAGGATGAATTAATGAAGTACTTCCTGATATCCTAGACTCCATATCTTATATGCACATAATTCTTACAAGCTTTCCAACTCCACAAGTAAAACGAACAATTCTTTGTCACTACTTGGACACATATTTGTTGTATGGCCCTAATTATTTTACTTAACTGCTCTAGTACTCACAAAAGAGGATAATACTAAAACTCCAGGGATTTGAGAGTGGCAGATATGAGGGAAAATTTTTCCCCTAAGCTGAACTAATAAACCACAGGAAAAATAAAAAAGCAGTTTTCCATATACTAAAGTCAAAACTTTGAACTTATCTTGTCCTTCACTTGTCTTTCATCACATTTGATATAGCAGTAAATACTGTCTGTCCTACTTCCAAAATGCACTAGAAAATGTAGTCCTGTCCACTTCTACAACCAGCAAGTTGTCCCAACCACCACCACTACGACCAGTTACAAGGACATCCAGATTTGCCTGACTGCAATCTAATTTTCACAACATATATCTATCCTCATATAATACTCGTATAATGCAGTTATATAATGAAACACTTTTTCTCTGTGATAAAATGCTAGCACGCTGTTTTCTTCCCATTTCTTCACATGTAATCCTTCACATTTCTCATATTGTGTTTGTGTGTGTGTAGATGCATTATATGAGTGATCACTCCCATCTCACTATAAGAATTTGATGTCTCCCTATAGTATCCTCTGTCTCCTATGTACCTATACTTATTGCACTTTAATTTCTAGGAAATACATGAGGTCTGGAACTTACATATATTACAAATGATTCACATTTGAATTGTTTCGCAAGTTTTTCTCTTGTTGAAAAATCCGGGTAAGGATTTTGTTGAAACATCTCATTCAGCCTATTCGATTCTTCTGGAGTAAATTTATGTCGGTGTTTCGTTTTTCCTTTGCATTTCTGTGTCTCTCTTACTCTGTCGTTATCATCGTCTTTATTTGGGTGACCTGTCAAACATTAAGTGAAGAGAACATTGGAGAGTACTGGTAATAACCACACCAAAGAAAGATTTCTAAACAATTGTCAGCACAACTGACATACCCGTTCATAAAATAAATTCGTGGACTGACCTT